GCGCCGGTCAAATCACGCCCGAAATCACGTTAACTTCCTGTCTCCCGCCATTCGACGCCATCCAAAGAGTATAGTAACTTAGAGACGCAATCTTCTAGTCGCGTGAGCAGTACTTACTATCAGTGTTCCCTGGTATTTTATGTAAAATGTAAGTACTATTATATAATGTGTTTATATTTTTGGTACATATATCTAAGTATAATTAATACAAAAGCACAAACGAAATCTAAGCTTGCATGATGAGTTAGCATAATTTTTTTATTTATTTATAAGAAACGTTACCCCCACACTAGGATTTTCTCCTGTGCTGCGGGCTGTTCGAAAGAGATACCGCGGCTCCGGAACGTAAGGGCACTGAAGGAACACGGATGGTTTTTAGTCAGTAAAAGTCTAACACTCCCTTCCGCTCCACCCACAGCGAAAGGCGTCATTAGATGATTTTCCATCCGCAAAAAAAAAAAAAAGGATTTTCTCCTGTGTCGTGGAGGCAGTTTATAAACATAAATTGCACAAGGACAAACATCAAGACCCGGAACAATTATTTGTAGGCCATACAAATACTTGTTCCGTGCGGAATTTATTCCTTATTTTTTCATTTATAGTTTAGGTGTCGGATATTCTTATTTTTTACATAAGAGGTTTATAACTTATTAAGTTTCATAAATTATTATTAACTTATAAGCCGTGTAGTGGCGGTTAAGAATATCCACTACCCCATATCTTCCCGTGGATGTCGTAAAAGGTGACAAAGGGAAACAGGCAGGAGATGGGCAGCAGCGTCTTCACGATAACAATAAAAATACAATAAAAAAACTGCGGTTGCCAACCCGCTCGCCAAGCGTGGCAACTATGGCAAATACCCCCCAAATGGATAAAGTTACTAAGAGACGGCCCCCAGTCCCCGGCGACGCCGCTATTCCTGGCTACGGTAGCGAACATGGTAACGGCGGGGCAGGGGGTGCTAAGAATCTCCTGTGGAGGTTCGGTTGCCACCTACGACGACTCGACCTGGCAATATACAACGCACGCACCCTGAGGACTGACGAAAAGATTGTGGAGCTGGAAGAAGAGATAGATAAGTTACGCTGGCATATTATAGGATTATCCGAAGTCCGAAGAGAGGGGGAGGAAACGGTAATCCTCGAATCCGGCAACTTGCTCTATTACCGGGAGGGCGACCATCTGTCCCAAGGAAGTGTCGGATTTATCGTCCACAAGTCTCTTGTTAACAACGTTGTAAAGATTGAGAGTGTGTCGACGAGGGTTGCGTACCTTATACTCGGAATCACCAAACGGTTTTCGCTGAAGGTCATACATGTTTACGCACCAACCTCGGCACACCCCGGTGAGGAGGTGGAGGAAATGTATGAGGATATCTCTAGAGCCATGCATTCCTCCAAACCCCAATATACGGTGTTAATGGTAGACTTCAATGCAAAACTAGGCACAAGAGAGAAAGGTGAAAGTAGGGAAATTTGGTATAGGGCAACGGAACCCAAGGGGACAGCAGCTGGCCGACTTCATGGAAAAAGAGGGACTCTTTATCATGAACGCTTTCTTCCAGAAGCGGCCCCACAGGAAGTGGACCTGGTCGAGTCCCGACGGTTCGACAAAAAATAAGATTGACTTCATTATGACGACCAGACGACAACTGTTCAGTGATGTCTCAGTGATCGCGAGGGTGAAAACCGGCAGCGATCACCGAATGGTTAGAGGCACACTGAACCTAAACGTTAAGTTGGAAAGGTCTCGTCTAATAAAGTCAACGCTCCGTCCCCCTCGTGTTCTAATCCAAAGTCCCGAAACCCTTCAGCTCGAGTTACAAAACCGTTTTCAGTGCCTAGAAGACTGCAATGAAGTGGACGATATGAATGACAAGCTCGTGGAAACTGTCCATGCGGTCGGAGCTAAGTTCTGCAAGACCCGCCGCAGAAGAACACAAAAACTCTCCGATCACACTCTTAATCTCATGGCTGTTAGACGGAAGATGAAGCTACATTCTTCAACAGATTTGACAGCATACAGGCATCTGAACAGACAGATCTCCAAATGCATGCGGCGGGACTTACGCAACTTCAATATAGCTCGTATTGAAGCAGCGATCGAGCGGAACCAAGGCTCCAGTCTTTGCCAGAGATCTGTCGGCCAGAAAGAGCCAACTGTCAAGGCTGAAGACAGAGTGTGGCAGCATCGTTTCCGGGGCACCTGAGATTTTGAGTGAGATTGAGAGGTTCTATAGGCAGCCGTACATGTCATCGTTGGAGCCACACGCGAGTGTGAGTAACGATCCAAGAGCGAGTCTTATCCGACATTATTCCGATAATATCCCGGACGTCAGTCTGAGCGAGATTAGAATGGCTCTCCAGCACCTTAAAACGGCAAGGCCCCAGGCGAGGATGGAATTACAGCGGAGCTTCTGAAAGCGGATGGAAAACCGGTACTTGAAGTCCTTCAGAAGCTCTTTAATTCCGTTCTCCATGGTGGCATTACACCGGAGGCGAGGAGCAGAAGTGCGGTGGTCTTGTTCTTCAAGAAAGGTGACAACGCTCTCTTGAAGAACTACAGACCGATTTCCTTTCTGAGCCGCGTCTACGTGCTGTTTTTGAGAGTCATTACGAATCGTCTCGCGCGCAGACTTGACGACTTCCAGCCTCACCACATACATACCCTTCAGCAAATTGTACAAAAGTCAGAGGAGTACAATTTGCCACTATGTCTGGCGTATGTGGACTATGAGAAAGCCTTTGATTCCGTCGAAATTTGGGCGGTGCTGCAGTCCCTTCAGCGGTGCCAAGTGGACTGTCGGTATATCGAAGTGCTAAAGTGCTTGTACAGTAGGGTTACGATGGCTATCCGAGTACAGAACCAGAGTACAAAACCTATCCAATTGCAGAGAGGTGTAAGACAAGGTGACGTCATATCCCCGAAACTCTTCACCGCTGCCTCTCTCTCCTCGCTCTCCCGAGAAATCTTGGCACGGCCGGTGTATAGAGCATCACCAGTGCTGTCGTCCACATGGCAATGAATGTTACCAGTTGGCAACATGATTGATATGCAGACGAAACAGCGTTGGTGATAGCACGCAGCCTTGTGGAACACCAGCGTTATGGGCTTTTAATCGGAGCATGCACCATCTTATACGACCTTGATGCTCCGATCTGCAAGAAAACTGGTGATCCAATTGCACAATTTCTCAGGAAGCCCATAGGAAGGATGCTTCTAAAGAAGCGCTTTGTACCAAACCCGATCAAAGTCCTTCGCTATGTCCAAACTAACGGCCAAAGGCTCCCCCTTGGACTCCACCGCCTCCGCCCAGTATGAGTTATATAACCTATGAGATCACCAGCTGATGTATTTTGTTTTTAAATCAGTTTTTTTTTATTATTCCTTAAAAGGAGTATGGTTGGAAGTTCGCAATTTAGCGTATCTAGTCGACGATAATTTTGATCATAAGGGAAAAGAATATGGATGCTGTTAAATTATAATAAATATATTTAATTTCGACGGTTATTTTTTCTTTTAATAGGTAAATTCGTTCAATATGAAGGTATAATACCTTTAAATACGTAATTAATCCCACATACATAGATAACACTAATTCTCATATTATGAACATTTGGCTTAACATTTACAATAAACATATATAAGCACACATAATACAACAATGTTACAAAGAATGCATTCATTTATCTTATAAAAACATAACAACTGCCACTCAGGGGTGTCACTTCCACTATGGAAGGTATGGAGCACTCCATACCTCAAGTTTTTCAAGGTATGGAATTCCATAGCTGAAATTAGGAAATAAATCGCATATTACTACAAACCCCATATAAATAAATCGCAAGCCCTTAAACCTCAATACCCCACATCTTATAGTTCAATAAATAAGTTGAGTATATACACTGCAAACTCTTAAACCTTAATACCCCACGAGTAATGCGAACAAATTTGAAAATCGCGCCACCATTTTCCATACCTCAGATTTTTACAAAGTGACACGCCTGCTGCCACTAACATTTTAAGCAAAAAATTTAATATTATTATTACAACCATAACTTTCCAATATTTATCAACATCAATAATAACTACAGTCTTAAGACAATATATTCAAGTCAATAAACTATTAGTTAATACAAATGCAAGATTGTAAGAAGTATCAAACTTAATTATATTTCTATAATTGATTGCATACAAAATTTAAATTTACCGGTAAAATAACTTTAAAACCGAATTTTAGGCGTATGTGGTGTAACGAAATAATAAAGCACTATAGTCTTATTACAGAATGTCAAAATGAGATAATTAGGCCGATGACATTAGATTTAATATGGTGGTTATATTTACTGCTACACATTATACCTAGTTTTTACTAAACTAGATATTATAGATACTATTTTATATAAAAATGGTTATGTGATTAGCTGATCATTTGAATATAGATAAAATAAGTCTAGCACAAACTGAAATATGAATTACTTATAAAAGTTTACGTTTACGATTAAAAAGTTTTAAATTTTTACAGTCATTATACTTATTCGTTTTGTTCACAGCATAGACAATATTTGTTAACTTTCAGGCACCTACACCAAAAAAAAAAAGAAAGATGGAGCGCTGCGTACATTTAAGGTGACGCAAAACGCAAGCCAAAACCACGCTTAACGTATTGTAAGAACACACATCTATATACACACACATCTAAAATAATTTGCAACCAACAATATGGTTTTAGAATATGTATGCGTAAAGTTGAGCAGTGAACTTTTACAGAAGAAAGGTTTATGAGTTACAAGAAGTTGAGCATGGCTTTTCAGTCACCTGAAATGTACGCAGTGCTCTGTTTACCTGCTTTGTTGGTCTGAGCCGGCTAACGTTTAGACAAAATAAAAATTGCTAAGTGAGTATTATATTACGATTGTGAAGTGTGAATAAAAATATTAAAGTTAGTAATATAAAATGTGAGTATATTTAGGAATATTTAAAAAAAAAATAAAGGAAATGATCGATTAAAATAATTTATTAAGACAATTCATAAGCAATTTGAACATAATTTAATTGTAAAATAATATTTAAAAAAAAAAGAATATATATAATGTATTAAATTTGAGTATCCAGCAATATATTACACAAAATTATTATAACCTATTTATTTTCCTGATTATGGATAAATTATAATTCGAAAGGCTTATAAACTAACAATTACTCATTTATTTTTACATTCTTTAGTGTTTGTACATATCATGAAAAAACTTATATTCTCCATCAATTTTCACAAATAAGTCCATAATTTTATCAGTTATTTATTATTTACTTACTTTTTAGTTAGGAGCATGAGTAGTCAACAGTTATTATTATTACATGGAATATAAAATAAATTATCACCGTAATTCATCATTGAGCCTAAAATTTTCAAAGTATCTATATTTTTACCACAAACTAGACTTAAGATCAAAGTAAGATTATATTAGTCTGGAACTCGGGAATAACTTTTATGTTAATTTGTTTGACACCTTTAAAATAAAAAGGTGTTTATTGGAAAAAAAAAAATTTGCAATGCATTCAAAACTAGGTGATAAGTTTCTAGTAGGAAATTACTAAACTTGTCATGAGATTAAAACAGTATTGTTAATGCTAGAATAATAAATTATTATGAAGCCTGCTATTTTAATTCCAGATAATATAACCCAGGGGACAATTTTAACTATACAAAAGTTCATACACTTGACAGTCAAATCAGCTTTGATTGATGGAGTCTTCAGATTGGTTGGCACTTGTGCAGTCTCCTTTTGGGGCGATTTTCACCGGTTTACCGCTTTTGCCTACAAATATTTCAACTTCCTGAAAAAATAAATGTATTATATTAATACAATATTAAATTTAATATTATGAAATTAGACATCCAGCTGGGACGTAGTAGTTCAGGAGATGATCACTCATACTTAATATACATAGGAGAACTGAATTTGATCTGATCTTTTTTTTTTATAGGATCAAGTGACAAACGAGCACACAGTCCACCTGATGGTAAGCGGTTGTTGTGGCCCATAGACATCTACATCTATCCTCGTTTGCAAATCAAAATGCAGATGCGTTGTCACTCGTGAAGACTAAGATGGAATGCCTCTTATCCAGTAAAAAGGGTCTTCAGTTCTCTACACTCACCATACGAAACACAGCAGCGTTAAGCTGCTATTTTACGCTGGTATTCTGTGAGAGCGTGGTCCTTTCCCTGATCGAGCCGACCCATTTGTGCTACAACTATACTACTCATATAGCTGCAGCATGGCTCTACCACGTATAATCTGATGATGAACCGAAATTATTTTCTGTGTGATAAATTTCGTAATGAGGATACCCTTAAAAGAACCAGAATAAAGCTCGTACAGCTGACAACCGATGGAAACAAAAGGATCTCAAGTGGCAACCCCGTTACGGGAAAGTAAAGTGTTAGACCGCCTTCCATTAGATAAAGTGACGACCTGGTAACATATGCAGAAAGTCAAGAATGGAAGGTGGCTTAGGGGCCTTACTGTGTGATGTTTCTTGGGCGAGGCCTTTGGTTTAAACCTAATCAAAATTTAAGACCCTAATAATTGTAAAATAGGTCGGGGAAAAAGTTTACTCGTATTTTGTTTGTATAAAATTGAAGAAAAATATCTTCGGTTGTACTGTTTGTATCTGGCTGGTTTTAATATCAATACATTTAAGACATTAAGAAAAATAAAAATTAAAAAGTAAAAGCACACATTTCCACCATTTTCTATTGTTTTTCTGTGCGCAAAAATGAGTGAATCTAATGAAGAAATTCGATACATTCTGAAGTTTTATTACAAGTGGAAAAATTTAAAATATTGTACAACCGACTTCAATATAAATTATTAAGGATAACTCAAAAACTACTGGTTAGAACCTTGATCAAATTCATATAGGACCATATGAGAAGCACCTGCTTTCAAATAAAAAAAGAATAATCTAAATCGTTTCAGGCGTCTTCGAGTAATCGGTGAACATACATAAAAAGAAAAAGATTCCGATGAATTGAGAATCTACTCCTTTTTGAAATTGTTTGAAAAAGTATAAAATAAAAACTTAACTTAACAACACGAGCTCACTGAAAGAAACCTAATGAATTGTGAACTCATTTGCGATTGTCTATTGAAACTTGATGAAACCGAACTATTTTTGAAAAGATTGATCACTGGTGATGAAAAGTGGGTCACCTACGACAAGAACGTGCGAAAAATATCATGGTCAAAGGGTAGTTAAACTCCACAGACTGTAGCAAAACCTGGATTAACACTCAATAAAGTGATGCTGTGTGTATGATGGGATTGGAAGGGTATTGTTTATTATAAGCTTTTACTGCCGGACAAAAACATCGATTCGGATCTCTACTGCCAACAACTAATAAGATTCAAGTAAGAAATTGAGAAAAAACGGCCAGAATTGATCAACAGAAAAGGAGTGGTCTTTCATCATGATAACACCAGATCTCACACAACTTTGGCCACTCAGCGAAAATTTTGAAAGCTTGGTGTGGAAAATGTTAATGCTCCACCATATAGTCCTGACCTTCCATCCTCAGATTTTCACCTATTTCGGTATCTTCAGAATTCTTTGGATAGTGTTAGGTTAACATCAAAAGAGGACTGTCAAATCCATTTGTTGTATTTTTTTGATTGAAAATCCCAAGATTTCTACAGCAACAGGATTATGTCACTACCTACAAGATGGCAACAAGTTATAGAACAAAATGGCACATATATATTATAATTAAATGTAATTAAAAATAAAAATGTCTTGAATTTCTATATACAATATGAAGAAACTTTTTCTCCGACCCTATGATCAATTGCATGTCGTAGTTTAACATCAATCTCATGAAATTAGGGTGTATAATGAACTTGTAAACTATACTGCGTGGTATTAATAGTCTTTTACCTGACTGCCTTCAATGCCCATTTCGTCCTCCTTCTCCTGGCTGCTACCGGGAGTCGCCGCTCGAGCCGCCAGTTGTCTTTCGCGTGCAATACGTCTATTGGATAAATAAATATGATATGAATAAGTTGTTAAATATATCCTAAGTCGGTACTATCACACATTATATTATTTTTTATCATTTAGCCTTATAATAATTTCTTATATTTACACGAATATTAGACAATGAATCAAACGTTTAATTTAACTTTTCTACTATTTTTCCCCGACGTTTAAAAGATGAAGGTAGCCCGGGCTATAACATCGTAAAGCTCCTGAAACGTCGGAAATTACAAATAATTAACATTAAATGCGATAAAATCCTTATAATTAGTTTTACTGAATTTAGTCAAATTCTTGATATGACAAATGACTGCTCAGTCAAACTATGTATAATTATATGTATAATCATAAATAAATATTAAGCAAATAAATTAAATTTACAACAGTTAATAAAAAATTTATAGCTATACACAAAGATTAGACCTTAAAAGCAATTATTTTTTGGCATTAATTTATATAATAATATGATAATAAAATGAATTTGAATTAACCATTAGGAGCCGTGATGTAGAAACCAAGTTACTCTGAGTACAAGATATCTAAAGACTGAATATTATGTGAATGAGAATTATATAAATCCATCAGTAGGTAAGGTAATTGGATATTTGACAAATTAAGAATATGTCGGGGTTACAAGAAATGTGAAGAATATGTTTTAACAAACTATTTTTTTCCATCAAGTAATGAACTCATGGAATAATATAGCTTTTGCCCGCGACTTCGTCCGCGTATATGTTATACTTTAGACCATAGGTGATCTATCAATAATCGCACTTTCAACGTAAATTCCATGTATGTATGTTTTTGTGACAATGTCATAAATGTATATTGTAAGTGTACTTGTTAAATAAATAAATCATCCTCTTTAGGGATGATTTCCGTGATTAAAGCTATCATATTTCCTTCCCCGGAACTTAAAATATCTCGATATCAAATTTCATCTAAATCGATTCAGCGGTTCAAGCGTAAAGGTACATTTCCTCGCCCGGCGATAAGCGATGTTTATGCGAGCCCTGCGCGCGCCGGACCACACAATTTTATATCGTCGTTACTTTTAAAATATTTTACCAAATTACTTAGTTTAAAAAAACCAAGAGTATCTAGTTTGCACATCAGAAGCGATCAAAGTATTTATTTTGATAAAATCCAAATGTTACTGCGAAATATGCATTGATAATAAAGTATCAAATTTTATTGTTCACTTCAATTTTAAAGTTCACTATTTTGGTAATAATGGTTTTCCTGCCGCAGACTTTTTTGTAGAACTATTTAGGATAAGCAATTCCACTATACATTATATTTGTGTAACTCTTACAGTTTTTGCACCGCACTTTTTACCGCACTTTTTTAATATCTTTATTAATTATAGCCTAAGTGTTGTTCTGATGTATGAGCTATATAATTGTAAAGTTTCATTATGATACATTCAGTAGTTTTTGCGTGGAAGAGTAACAAACATCCATACATTCATACATCCTCACAAACTTTCACGTTTATTATATCATAGTAGGATAAACATAGGCATTTATTTTTTATTTATTTATTTAGTTATATTCAGTCTTGGGTTTATGGCAACATCATAAATTCAAAAAAAATGTATTGAGCTAGTTTTTGCTGACACTTTAGACTCCGTAATGTGATTTTGTATTTTATTTTTACCTACGACGGAGCGAAAGGTATGAGCGTTTAGGGTGAGAGGTCGTTTGTGTTCATACAAATGTTCCCATTAATCTCCAAAATGGTTTAACCGGTTTTCTGTAGAGTTTGTGATTAATTGGCAATAGTTCTTAGATAGGTATTATTATTTATATGCATAGGCTCTATCTAATTAATAACAGTCAGCACCGGCAATCGTGTGTGTGAAAATCAGTGGATACAATCCACATAAGAAATAAATTGTCATAATCTAAAAAAAAACATTACCTTCTGTGCTCAAGCATAGCCTTGCGATCGGCTTCACGTTTCTCGGCAGCTAAACGCGCCTTCTCGTTACTGACACGAGGCGTCACTCTAGAACTGCCGCGTGCTGGTGAAGTGGTCACAGTTGGTGGCTTTGCCACTGGTGAAGCGATCTGAATAAAAAGAAAATATATGTATAAAGCCGAGGGAAGAGAATCCACTGCTCTATTTCGTATTATGGGTGCTGTTGTAGTCGATTTCAGAAATGGCAAAAATGACTCAATGCCTATGACAAATTAATATTGGTGATTAATAAAGTATGTAAAGAACATCATGAGAGTTGAGTGACATTGATGGTCGAGAGAACTCACTACTCCATTTCTTCCATTACTTCAGGTCTTGTCGGTGCCAATTTTTGGGAATGCAAAGACCGGTCTTAGTACGTCTGATAAATATGATATGTTAAATATCTAGAGGCCAGTGACAGGAAGTAGAGCGAAAGGTATCAGAAATCCAGTACTTTGATAGCCAATCCTCTCTGTATGCATTACATACTACAGTCGACTCGATAATTTGAATCTCTCGATAATTTGAATTTTTTACCGGTCCCTTAAAAATACTAGATAAATTGAATAAAATTAGTATTATGTGTACCCCTCGGTAATGTGAAAATGGAATAGTATCTTGTCTGCCAACATGCAATAATTTGAGGTCTGGGCTTCCCTACTCTAGATAATTTGAAGCGTTTGTCATGCACAGACCTGTCGTTTGTTTACATTTATGTACAGACCTGTCGATTGTTTACATAAATGAGGGAGACTTCTTTCCAAATTAACATTTGTGCATAATTGTACAAATGTTTAAAATAATAAATCACGAAATTTGATCAAACTCTTGTTTACTTTATTTTTTTCCAACCTCCCTCTTGGTTATCTGAACTCCTGTTACTTTGAATTGTTGGTTTTTAGAAATTTTTCTCTTGTCCCTTGAGTTTCAAATTATTGAGAGTCGACTGTATATCCTTATGTAGTGTGCAGCATTATGGCTAAAAATGGATCCGTTTGACCGGAGCAGGATCACACAGGATCAAATGCTTGAAGAGAATACCAATGTGAAATATTAGTATAATAATGCTGTTGTGTTTTGTATGGTGAATAACGAGAACTGGAAACCCGTCATACTGGTAACAAGATATTCTATCTAAGTCCTCGGTGTGACAACTCATTCGTATTTTGATTCTTAATCGAGTATAAGATGTAGATGATTATATACCATCAGGTAACACCCTTTTACTTTTCTAAGAGCAGTGACAGACGGGGCGAGCAGTATCAAACACCACATCTTCTCCTCAACTTAAATTGTCTTGAGGCCAAGTATTGTACTTTCTGTTGAAAGCCCACTTCAGAAACAGAATTGGGCATGTTTTCTTAAATACTCAACATATAGACCGTCCAGTACCTTTACTAATAGTGTAGCCAACAATATAGGTCTGTAGTCGGTTATTTTCAAGATATCTCCAGTCTTATTCTTAATAATTGCACAACAATAGTCCCCATTAGATTAATTAAACTATAGTTACAGGCTGTATGGTCCTCATCTTAGTACTCAGAGTTGAAAAAAAAATGCATCTGAAGCCTTGTGTGTTTAAGTTGGCTGTAGGTGTCCATGGACTGCAATAGCCACTTACAATCAGGCTGGTTGTAAGTTCGTTTATCACTCCAATTTTATAAAAAGAAAAACTAATTTTATACTTACTGGAAGTAGTCAAAGGACAACGAAACTCACCTCCTGCCAGTTGTTAGCCTTCATTGCTGCTATGTGTTCGTACAGGGCGTCTACGTTGCGGACCTGCAGGCACACCATGTCCCAGAAGCCTTGTAAATCTTCCACTGTGGTAGGGAACGGCTCGTCCAGACGTTCATTGATGTTGTTGTAACAGAGGCCTGGAAATTTATGCAGAAAAATTAGGATAGTCATAGTCATTTTTATATTTAAATTTGGATGGATACTCCTGTGTCTTAAAAAAACACTGTAAATCTGTTGGCCCTGCGCTTGATTTTTCTCCGGCCGCGTCGGATCCGGACATCGGACAATGAAAGTGAGGGAATATAGAGTGCACTTGGGCTTGGGTACACACTTGTGCACTGTAATTCTATCCTGTGCATATGGCTAGTCTCTGTCGTGGCTGATCGCCGTGACCGTAATTCGTTTTGAAAGACATTTTTATTATTGCTGCTCATTATCACAAGGCAGTGCAATTAGGTTTAGCATTTTGGATAACTTTATTGTTGTCTTTTTTATTATTGACAAAATATTAAACTATTGCACATACAAATATTGACCATTTAGCAGTTAAAGTTGGTAAAAAATTACTTCGCGTACATCCGCTCGATAAAATAAAATGATGTGTGGTAACTTACTTTCAGTTAGCGGTCAGCCACCGCAGAGTCTAGAACACCTGAAGATGCCTCGTGTGGAGGCGAAACACGTGTCGTATTATCGTCGGTGATGTGTCTTTCCTAGTGTAGTGGTGTTGGGCTTAGTGGTGATGGTAATAGTGCACGCAATTAAGGGAGGTGCTCTTCAAACTAGGTAAAACACATCATTTTATTATATCGAGCGGATGTACGCGAAGTAATTTTTGCCAACTTTAATATAATGGACTTACGCAAAGTAACGCCTGATTCTATTAATCATTTAGCAGTTGTCTTTTAAAAAGATAATTTTGCAATACCTTCAAATTGTTGCATCTTCTGCGTGGCCAGCAGGCGTGCTTTACCGGACGCGGCTCTCAGTAAACCCAGTACTTCTTCACTTATATTCTCTTGGTTCTGGAAATATAGTAATATAAAATTGATCACTGCCTAACATGTGGTTCTTATGGATTTTTCTTAAGACTAATGAGGAGCACACATGCCCAAGTTTTAGGTAGAGGGAAGAGAACTGAACTACTAGTTTGCTAAAATTACAGTAATGGGCCATCCTTGAGAAATTAATTCTTTATAAAAGTTCATTAAGACACAAATTAGTAGCATTGCTCTGTTTGAAATTAATTCTTTATAAAAGTTCATTAAGACACAAATTAGTAGCATTGCTCTGTTTGTCCTTTGCTTTCAGCGTAAAAAACTAAAATTTCTAGTTGCACTGTAGTAAAACTAGCAAAAGAAACTCTGCAGGCATAATTTTGCTTGGTCTTTTTTTTAATGGCCATTGATTATAATAAATTTAAAGGAATATGCTCAAAGAGATATGGTTAGAGTTACGCGGCAGCTTTTGCTGTCGCACGGATGGGCCGGCTCGAACCAGGGTGGTACCAAGACCTCACAGAAAACCAGCGTGAAGTAGAGGTTTACCTCTGCGTTTCGTTTGGTGAGTGCAGGTGGCCGGAGGCCCTTTTTACTGGAAATGAGGCATTCCATCTTAGTCCTCACGGGTGACAACGCATTTACATTTTGATTTGTAATAGAGGATAGATGTAGATGTCTATGGGCCGCAGCAACCACTTACCATCAGATGGACTGAGTGCTTGTTTGTCACCCTTATCCTATAAAAAAAAAGTAGATTCTACACACGGCCTCTACACAGCGGCGTAAGAGAATCTAGTCGATTACTCATAACACCCAGTGGGAAGTAGTGACAAAGGGATACAGAAACAGAAGATGGGCCTGCTACCACTTCCGCTAACAGCTGCATCTTCCTCATAACAGCTCAGAGAGCATGGCAACTTTAGCTAAATCCCCTATGAGAACAAGCTAATGAGCTAATAAGTCTCTTTATTAGCAAGTTTAAATGTTTTGTTAAGTTGAAACTGTATGAAAAGGGTTATTATAGTATAAATGAATACATGGTTGATAATAACCCCTGGGAATGAGGTGATCGCTTCCAAGCTGTTTCTAAAATAAATTTTGTACTTATATAGTTTGTATAACCATTATTGTAAAATTTGCTTTAAAAAAAAGTCCCGCTGGGTTTCTTGCTGGTTCTTCCCAGGGCAGAGGTTTTTTTTCGAACCAGTGGTAAAGTAAAAAATGACTTTCAATAAGAATTACACATGTGATTTATATTGAATAAACAATTATTCTATTCTAGCTATGGGGGAGGTCTGTGTTTAACAGTAGACTTTTGATATGTTATTATGAATGAAAGAAAATTTAATGAATCTTCATTAGTAACTGAAGCATAATATATACTAAGTGTATTCCTTGGCTGAGCAGGCCAGACCTAGTTATGTATATAATTTTTGTACTTTTATCAATGCATCATATTGTTATAAAGAGCTGTAATATTTCACTAATTCCATAAGTGGCTTGCTGTAATTTCACACTTCACGATCAAGACGAGATCTTCAATTCCCTAATGAAGTTATTAACTGCAATTTTAAGTGATTTAACTTGCTCCATAATTGTCTCAGAAAATAGAGAGGGCCTATGCCCAAAATATGGGATGTAATATATGGGTGAATATACGCTATTTGAATTCCAACGGTCCATAGACAAATTTTATGTTAAACATAATATATTATTGTTACTGTATGCTTAAGCAATAAAGAATATCGTCTAATATTTGGCCCACACAGTCAATTCACAATAATTGTTTAATTTAAGGCATTAATAGCTTAAAATAGTTATAAATGTATAGTCCCCTGGCCTCCCTCATTACTAGATTGTATAATTTTATGGTCATATGTATTATATACTTAAGCCATTATGTTTTCTTTTAACATGATCATACGCCTAAATAAACATCGAAACATATTTTATGAAAATACATTGTAAAAATATTTATTAATATAAAAAAATATATCTTATTTTCACATGCCGTTACAATTATGTCACCTCACCTGGCGAAACTGAAAGACTAAAATTTTTACATAAAACCGCTAAAGTATGTTTTTGAGCTTGAACTACAAGCGTAGTACAGTGTGAAGTTCGAAGTAAGCTAACGGTGATGAGCAAAACTCAAATAATATTGCGTCAGTTTTGGATTCACTGTAAGAAAGCGTGTTTGTGCCAGTCGTTGGAGTATTTCCCTTGGTAAGTATAGGTTTTTGTATTTTGTTGTTACGAAATTGTAAATTTCCACAGTGCAATGTTTATTTTGTATAGATGTCATGTATTACGTTAAACTGTGGTTAGAAAAACAAGTGATGTTGTTTTTGTAGGTTGTGTGTGATTTTGTCACTTCTCTGGCGTCACTTCTCTGGCATATTTCATGTCAGGGGAAATACAGCCGTCCCAGGGAAGTGATGAAATTTTGTTTCGTTAATATTTAATCTTATAACGCTTCAATTTATTTGTTCTATGTACCATGATATCATGGCGAATGTTAAAAAGAAGCAAACAAGGGAGATGAGAATCAAGATGATAAATTATGCTACCAAATAATTAAAACGATCCGGTTAATAAAAAAAGGAAAAGGGTCAAACTAAGAGCATTAATGACATGATTGAAAGGGAACAAAGAGCTGTTAGAAAAATACGGAGAGAGAAGACTATAAAGTTACACTCTACCAGAAACTATCAAGTAACACCACCGTCATCTGATAATGAAAACCAACCTCCACTTTCACAAAGCAATTTGGCTCTGGCTGCTAAAAGACGATCAGAAAGTCAGCATTAAGTACAAAATAAAGTTATAAAAAAAACAAAAATATGAAATTACGTCAAAAACTACATTAGTAACAAAACAAACTAAGGCGCATCGAAAAACAGAAGAAGGAGCTCCAAGTGATATCGGAGAGACATGTAAACGAACCCCTGACAAAGTAGTCGGTTTAGGAACTAACATACAAATACACATACATACAAGACTTTGTTAAGGAATTAGAAAAAAATTGCCCCAGCATTCATATTTTTGTGATACACGAAAAAGAAATTGATTTACGAAGGAAGATAATTAAAGATAATCGACCGAACATTAAACCTTTTGCTGGTACAATAAAAGTACATGAAGTCCGAGGAACATTTATGAGCAGTACGTAGTACATCAAGAGCTTCAGCTGCTTTGGTAGCAACTTTTGCCCTCACTTCCACTTAGACGACATTAAATACACCCATAATGATAAAACCAAATTGCATGTTGCTGCAGTATACACCGATTCTGAGGAAATTGTGCAAAACAAAATGATTCCACAAACATCTACTAATCTGATTAATACTATAGACAATAAAAACACGGCTATGATTTTTTTTATAGGATAGGGTTCCGCTGTTTTACGCTGGTATTCTGTGAGAGCGTGGTCTTTCCCCGGTCGAGCCGACCCATTTGTGCTATAACTATACTACTAATATAGCTGCAGCATGGCTCTGCCATGTATAAAACGTGGTAGAGCGTATGATTGTCAAGAACCGTAAATTTATACTTGTGGAATAATAAAAAATATAGGTATGCTGGCGCACGTTTGTCAGATTATGATGAAGAAGAAGGATAGCTCAGGGTTACTTTCCTAAAGATCTCCAATAAGATGGTACTCTTTTTAGAATATCTGTCTGATGTTAAATGGGAAAGGATCTTGACCATACTACCAGTGCCAAATATACTTATGAAAGGTAACAGATTATTCTACAAGTTTCCAGAGCCAGTTAATGTATTTGAAAAGTAAATTGTTGATTGTTTTGTATTAAAGTAAAATATATTAATTTAGTCGAAATTATCTTCTTTGCAATAAATGAAAGTTTTCATTTATACTGTGCACTGATAATTTTTAAGTTTATTTGTTTAGATAGCCTCGATAATGATAGGTGTTTCACTAGATAGTACTATTATTTTTTTGTTGCAAAGTTTATATTTTTGTTTAATTTAGAAGTTTTATTTAGATACACCTAAAACATTGCTTTAAGTTTTTGAACATTTTATAATTAAAATTGTCAAATACCATGTGCTGTAATTTTTATATTAGATAATTACTTTAAATCTCAGATGAGACTGATAAGTAGAAAACATTAATTTCATTATTTGATTCGGGCAATTGAAACTTAAGCATTAACAAACCATTAATATTAAAAATTAATTTGTTGAAAGAAGCTGAAAAAACTGTTAACATGTATCTAATATATTAAAAAATATCTAGACTATAATTTATATGTGTTTTATTCAATATTATTCCCCTTTCTTAGGTAATAATTAATGGACTGTTTTTACTATCCTGCATTAATTTGTCACTACTCTCCCCTGGTGCTTATAAAATTCAAAAAAATGGAAAAATCTTCTGGCCCGTATCATTACAAATGCACAAATAGTGTCAAATAGTGATATTATTAATGTTGAATTAAACAGACTACATTTCTTTCAGGGACACAAAAAAATCAAATACCGTATATTCACCCATATAGCCTAACTTTATTAATTTTTATACTGCTATAAGGAATGGTAAATGGAATAAAATAATACATAGAAAAATAACTATAATTAATATATTCTATAGTAGACCTTAAAACACCTCGATTGATAATGGAAAACAGTGTCTTATATTCAAAGTCAGTCCAAATGAGTTAAAATTTTGTTATAAAACAAGAGAACTAGGCCTTAAATGAATTAAAATAGCTTGAAAAGGAATGTAAATAATTAAAAATTTTGTACAATCGACTTCAATATAAATACTTAAGAATAACTCAAAAACTAGAGATGAGAAGTGCTAGCTTTCAAATAAAAAATAATCGGAATCGGTTCACCTAGAAAGAAGTTATGAGGTAACACCCTGCTCCTGTTTGAAGTCGGTAGAAGAGGTGATACATACATAAATTTGCATATGGACAAAAAACCAGTTCTGAGAGAGTTATTTGTATGCCAAACAAACTGATGGGATTCGAACCCGCAGCCTGGCAGTGCCGCAAGAAAACTCGTGACCACTCTGACAAAGTAAGATTTTAAGGGCGCCATAGCCCTTGAAATTTTAATTTATTTTAGAATAGACTTGGTAATCTAAAAGTTGTACATACCTGCAAGATCTCCAGCTCCTTCTCTGCACTGGCTGCAAGTGCAATTAGTCGCTCTGTCTCCTTCTTCTCCAGATCAAGGAAATAATGTGCATCTTTAACAACCTCTCCATTAACTTTGTCAGCACCATTCACTTTCACACTCCCATTTATAGGGTCTTTAACCACAATCTCTTTGTCATCATCTAAACTTATCACAGATACACCATTTGTCACAGACACTTCACTTGTTTTACCTTGACCTGGTTCTATTACTTCAGTCTTGTCTATAGACTTTGGAATGTCTTGATCCTTTTGTGGGGATAGATCACATTTTAAGCTTTTCTTAGGTGATAGTATTGGAAGCTGAGCTCGGAATTCCGGTCGTAAATGTCTTAAGACAGGTAGAACACTGGAGTCCATTTCATTGGGACTAGAATATATATTTTCACTCTCTAGGTTACTACAGGATTTTCTTGGAGACAATAATTTCTCAGGGCAGTTTAATGACTTCTCTGTTAGCACTTTGGAATCGTCTTCATCACTATGACTTTTAAATTTAAGGCGTTTTTGGTTAAAGAATCCTTGTGCAAGTGCTCCGGGACCGTAGAGTCTCTCGACACGTTGTTGAATAAAACTTTTCATTGGACTCGTCAGTTTCTCACCATTTTCTTTCGTAATCTCCACCCTTTTCGACATACAATTTGAAGATATTGTGTAAGATTCAGAGCTATACCGGGATTCCTTGCCATTTGTCGTAACTGTTTGTCTGAAATTAGTTTCTGAGTAACTAGACTTAAAAGTAATTTCTTTAGCATTGTCGACTTCGTCCTTATGGAGCATTGATGTGGCGAAATTCTTATTTTCACTAGATATATAAGGTCTACTCGTCGTCGTCATGCTGGGGCCTAAAAAATCGTTCTTAAGTTGTTTATTCTCAGCAGCCATATGAGCATGTACTGGTGATGACAGGTACGGATCCGTGTGCGCCTTAGAAGGCGCTTTTGTTGTCAAATTAGTTCCAGTGTCATGGGGAATAAAATTAGGTACAAGCAGTTTGTTTGCGCCAATAGGGACTGGAACAAGTAAAGAATTATTTTCGCTTTTATACTGGTATGTGTGTGTAATGGGCCTTATTGGTGATGCTTCACGGCTCTTATTGATATCCTGCCGTAGCTTCGAGTCGTACGTTGTTAGATTAGTGTAACCATTGACTGAGCAAGCTAAGTTTAAATAACTAGGCTTTTTTTGAGTCACTTCCTCTCGTTTTTTATGATATCCACGTGATCTATGGCTACTAGTTTCCACATAAAGTTTAGGTGGTGGTCTAAGTAGATTTTCTTTCTTGGGCGTTGGTGTGACGTCCTCTGGAGTATGTGTGGGTGTGAGCGTGGGTGTTGGCTGGTAACTTGGTTGTAGATTTGATCCAGCTCTCTCCTGGATTCGGGACGTGAAATCCCGAATGCGACTATTTGTAGACGATGGCGTGAGAAGATTCAAGCTTCCTGAAGTGGTATCTGCGGTAATAACATAAGGAATTAAAAATACAATTAAAAGGATATGCAATAAACACAGAAATATTTATGAAATTAAAAAATTACCTTAGTCATTTTTTTAAATAATACTATGAGATTATGTTTTTCATTAATAGCTAAGTTTTCCATAAATTTAAATAAAAAATAGTTTTTATTTTTTAAAGGTTAATTTTGTATGTTATTTATGTTACTAACATTTGCTCACAATTAATATAAATATAATTGCCTTAATTCTTAATCGTCAGACAAAATTAGCCCATATGATGTTTATATTCTCTTGACTAATTTCAATCAAAATAGGAATTATAGAGAGACCACAGGTTATCTTTTCGAAAAACTGTTGAAACATATAATTTAAGCTGCAAAACATATGACAGTGCAGCAAGTGTATGATAAAAGAATATAGGCAATCGTACATCCGAGCATGTGCAATATGTAATAAGGCTAAAACTACGCTTGGATGCAGTGTGAGTTGAGTAAGACATGGAATTGTCTCAAAATAATATTTTTTGATTAATTTAGGTATTTAACTACAAGACAAATAGTAGTGCATAATGATATACTAATTATAATAAAACACAAAAACACAGTATATACTAAACAATAAACTAAATAAATCTGATATTATATTAAAAAATTCTCATTGGTATAACAAATCCACAAAGATTTCCTTAGACTCAATTGAAAACATTGGTATTTTCTTGAATAAGATATAATTAAAAAGAGTTCATATAAATGAGTGCTGATTGTGTATATTGAAATTATATTCATAAATTCTTTTAATGACACATGTAGTACATAGTAAAATTGAAAAGTTAAATACTTACAAGTATTTTGTATTTCAATGAACAAAATGTAATCACACATTTTGGAAAACAATTTTTACGTAAATGGTAAAGAATAACGAATTTTTTTAAGTAATAATATAAGTCAATCTACTAAATAAATAGCTTAATTTTATCTTATCAAGGTAAGAATGATTATGTTGCAGTGGCCATATACTCACTAAATACATTTTAGTTATTTTGTATGTTTGTCTGATGAATTTATTTAAAATATAAAAAGTTAATTTTCAAATTACATAATAATATTTATATATTATATTATGGACATATTAAGAAGAGTGCAAAATAAATGGACATTAAAACTTAATGAAAAAATCATTGTTAGATGAAAGATATACTAACTTAACAAATTAGACCCAGTAATTTTATTATAATAGTCTTAAAGGCAAGGAACAATTTACTGAATGAACTGAATATTGTTTAAAATAATAAAACATGGCTAATGTGTGTGTGGCACGTTGAGTATTTAACTCTTCTTGCTGTCAGAACTGCCTTCACTTGGACATACTCAAAATTATCAATAACACTTTTGCATTAAATTCAATACATATACTCAAAAGATCTATTTTAAACATATTCTTGGATATCTATAGGTTTAAAATAGGATTAGGTGAGTCCTGGCCACTCCAAAACTTTGGTTTCGTTCCACCTCAAAAACTACGTAGGGCAGAGCAAAATTTTGCATTAAAAGTAAGTTATATTCAATTCCATAGATTAAAACTAGTATGTGCTTAAATTTAAAAGTCTCCCCATACTATTATATAAGGCTTTCTACATCCGTTTTGACTTTCTTTGGGTTTTCTCCAAGTACAGTTAGTTTCTGTGAGAGAGCAAGGATAGGCCAAGCTATTTTTTTTTATAGAATAAGGGTGACAAGCGAACGCACAGTCCACCAACAGGCTAGCATGGGCTGGGGACAAAAATCTTATTCCCCGATTATATCCACTGACAAGAGATAAAATTATCTTGTCCAAGGGGGAGAAGTATATCCCCGTTTGACATAACGAGTAGACACATGTCCCCCCTTCTGACGCATGCGAGCCAAATTAAAGATATCCACCGGTGTGCCCATGCTCGAAGGGTGGATAAAAGTAAGCAAGGGGATAAACATTTTCTCCTTTCCCTGGGGATAAAATTGTCTCCTGCCTATGCTAGCCCTGCTGATGGTATGTGGTTGCTGTGGCCCATAGACATCTTCATCTATCCTTGTTTGTGAATCAAAATGCAGATTTAATTACTATTTCTAATGGTACTGTTTCTAACTGTCATTAATCAGTCAACCTATCTGGAGCATTGTTCTAACTTCAGAAAAAGTCAAAGTAATTTCTTATTGCACTGATTGCATAAATAGTGCTGCTTTTCATTTGTCTTGTATTATCTTCAATCTAATAATATTGTTTAACATTAGGGTTCTACATAAACTGAACCATATATAAAGATATGTCTGTCCAAGGATTTATTAGTAAGCACCGAAGCACCAATTCTTGCACTGACGAAAAGGTAATTAGGTTTGAACAAACTTAGCTTCGCAGTAAAGAAAACAAAATATTCTTCCATACATCAGTCTACATCAAGGTCAACTTTGCTATGAGACCTTCCTTCTTGCCAAATTTCATGATAGTAGGTAAACAGGAAATACCCTAAAGCTAATGATGAGTGAGTTTGCAAGTATCTAAATATGTGACATAAGTAAGCATATCTGTTGTGCTGACTAAGAAGCTTAAATTTTTGCAACGGACCTTAGACTGTGGTGTTAGATATTAATACCAACTTGATACCACTACCTGTTTCTAAGAAAAAGGGTCTTGACAGTTGGACTAACATCAAATTGATATATGGGTAACCCTGTAAGGGTTCAATTTTTGTTGAGGTAAGAAATGATCGACTAAAAACTGGTATTGTTGCCAGTCACTTGGTTTTAAGTATCTCATTCTCACGTTTTCAATTAAAGTGTCAGCTTCCGATAATTCAAGTACTGAGATCCATCATTATGACTTGAAACATTCAATGACATCATCAAACATTTAGTGACGTTATCACCATCATCATTACAGCCTATTAACAATCCACCGTGAAACATTGGCCTCCCCCATAGAAGTGATAAGCTTAGGAATTTGACAGGTCCTCGCATGGATTTGAATCGATCTGGTGTATCAGTTCAATCTAAAATACCAATTCTATACAGTCAAATAATCGATTTATCTTTTGCAGATCAACCTGCCTCAAAATTTTAAAAAAGAATTTTTTGAAAACTACATATTTCCATGTAAGTCACCAAGGCATGCATCAGAACATCAGTACATCATCAATTGAGACCATAATCGCCAAAAAAATTATGCTGCAGAATATTTTAAAGCTTACAGATGATTGAAGTATTTATACACTGATGAATGTATTTATACACCTCAACTTTGTAAAAAACCCTATAATACATTTTTTTTTCATAAATAGGTTTTATACCTAGGATCACATGCAATTTAGCACTTACCTACCTACTTCGACCTACGTTTGGATCCACTCATGCATATAATATATTGCATTTATTTCGTAAATATTACTAATTGTAAAGTTTTAGACTTGTGGTTAATCTAGCATATAAAATATATTTTATAAATTTACAAATATTAACAAATCAATAAATATTTGAGTACACTTCCACGAGCTTAGAAAAAAATCACGGTTGTAATATATTATGTCAGGGACAGAATAAATATTGTAGAAGTTCAAAAGCAGTCGGCGGAAATTATTTGATTTAGTTTAGTCATTTATCTATATTAGCTCCAAACAGCATTGTACTCACATTTGTGTTGAATCAGTTAGGTAATTTTCTATGTTTAGATGTTTATTTCTTATGAAAAAGACTTAAATTGTAAGAAGCGTGTAGAAAGAGATTTAACATTTTTGCTTTATTCTTACACATTAACTTACCGTTAAAGATATAAAACCATGGCCACTTAACACTGAAACTATTATGAATTGTGTTTAATAATTACTTTCTTCACTTCAAATACTTATACACAGAATTTATGAATTTATGATATGAATCACAAACACAAATGTCAAACTTTTTGCTTTTTTCCGAGAGTCCGAGACGTCACTACAGCGCCCCTCGACAGCCGGTCTTTTTCTTCCGTTCCGTTTCACGATTAGCATATTATATTCATTATTATTTTTAATAGATGTGATACATACATCTAATAGTTTACTGCATTTTCAATCCAGCCAAGGCAAAAACAAATATTTATTTATATTTAATAAGAAACTCTAGTGCAGCACGTTCGACTGCTGGACGACAATGACAGAGCTTAGCTCGATAGACGTACTGCGTAGGCTTCATCGAGGTCGATTCATCGATTTGCCCATATGCGTGAATGAGTATTTCTTTTGTTTATGACTTGCAATTTGCATAGCATGCGATATCTGCAATCGACCTACATAACCAATTTATAATATAGTTTTATGATTCAGATATCGATTCTAAACCATTTAAAAGAAGTTGTTTTCCGCAATCGTTAATTTAAAACATTTTATGACTTAAGGTCTTACACACAGTAAATCCTAGTAATTAATGTAAAAATGTGTTTAAATATTTCAAGAAGTGTTTATAAATTTTATCATCATCATCATTATTATAGTCCTTTATAAATCCACTTAAGTAATGCCACAATGCACATTACACAGATTGTACACCTGTATCGCCTTTTTAAAACTACCAAATTATAAAAAGGGCGATGCAGGTGGCTTATTGAACATGTATGTATACATTATGCTACAAAAAATCTGAACAAAGGTGTTCAAAACATGATGAATAACTTATCATTCATCACTGTGTAAAAGCTTGAACAGCATTAACTACTGCTTAAGAAAAAAGAATAATTAAAATTGGTGTATATAAAAACCTTATGCACCTATATAGCAAAAATATAATAACGACACCTTAAAAAAGTTTACAAACTGAATTCATTGGTTTTAATAATTAAATATCTATCTCTTTTTATAAGCAAGACTCTTGTATCGCAATGTAGCCTCGGATAAAAATTTCTTTATTTCTTTTTTACATTAAAGATATTTTAATTGGAAAAACTTTTAGTAATTCTGTAGGGTAAAATACCTTCCTTTGATATGGGTTCTAAGTAAATGACAATAAATTGCCAATTTCGACCAAGTAGTAGTAGATTACTAAAGCTCTGTATAACATTGTGATTCACAACTCGTTTTTTGCATCACCGTAGGCAAAGCTATGTATAGCGTCACGTCGCGTCAAATCCTAAGGCCGTAGCTTACGGACACTAGGAGTGAAAGCGGATGTACAACTTCTTTAAACACCAACTTTATCTGTATGTAATGCACTGTGTTCATGAAAGAACGAGACTCTGCTTAAGAATCAATCAAAAACACTCAAACCAAACTCTACAAACTGGTGATGGTATGCACACCATTGCCCAGCACAATGAGCATGGATAAACCTTTCAAATAATGTATGGACACAGTTGTATTTTTGCAAAGGCCCTATTAAAGAAGAAGCATATGCTTAAAATACTAATTGCTGAATATTTATTTAGGCTGTTTATTATGCGATCACACAATTACTGCAGCTATTCAAAATATAATGATTTGATAATGCAAATAAACGTCACAAATGATTGTTTTTTTTTTGTTAATTTTTATTATTCAAAAAATAATAGAATTATCTAAAAATGAATAAAAGCAAGATTATCAAGAAAAATATAGCATTATGCTTAAATGCAGCTGTAATTATGGCAAGCAAGAAGGAAGTAAAGAAAACACAAATAATAACAGAAAAAGAAATATATTTCACACGATTATAGATAAATGTAAATATTAACTTAAATAATCATATTTTGATTGTACTAAAAATAAAAAAGCAAATAAGTTTGTTGAACCAATGAAATGAAAACAAAAAGCATTCAGAGTATCGCTTATTAACATGCTACACATTCATACAAACACAGGGGACACAGAAATGCTATATCTTGATTTACCTGAAAAGTCTGTACTTGCGTCGACATCGAGGGAGCAGCTACCAATAGAATCCACCGATTTGTCCATCACTTTCACTGTCAAGTTTTTTGCTTTATCTTTTATTAAATCGGCTTCCTTTACTTCTATTTCATAAGCACCGATACTATCTAAATCATTATCAAGATTTCTAACTTCATTAGATTTCGGTGAAACGGTGGAGCTTGGAAGTTTAATGTCAGTCTCTTCTGTGTTAATCGTTAATATTGAATCAGGTTTCAGAAAGTTCTTATCTAGAATTAATGTGCTTTGACTAGTAAAATTACTCCTTATTGGTTCAATGTATTCCACGTCGTCATCGTATACGAACAAATGGTTGGAATGTCCGCTTGGACCTTGTACGTCGGTAGCGTCTTTCGGTACCGCGTCTATAACAGTCTGTGTTTTACTTAAGCTTTTATAGAAATGACTTTCTAACTTGTCCAACTGTCGTCTCGTTTCCGATTGTTTCTTTCGAACAGAATCTATTATGACTGGTAAATTTAATAAGTCCGGAGTTTTCTCTCCGTGCTGTTGATGTGAAATTTCACGTCTGAAAAGTGGCGATTCATCGCTTTCTAACTCAAATCGTTTATATTTTGACGAACAGTAATCATCTACAGAAGATGTGTCGGACTTTTTTGAATCAAAAAACGTGTCAAGTGAGAAGAACGATTTTCGTTTCTTCTTTGGCTGGCTAGACTTATCGAAATTTGGTAATATGAATGGATCACCCGATTTGAATTGTTGCATACAAATATTACTCGTATTTACAAGAGATTTGGGTCGTTGCTCTTGGGGCAAGCTCAGTGGTATACGATTGGTTTCAATTTTACGTGAATCCAAGCTAAGCGTTTTGCGAAATCTCTCATTCAAGTTTGAGAGCAAAAAATGTCTACGTTCCGTTGATTTGGGAGTAATATTGTATGAGGTTTGCTTACTGCTAGAAGGTTCGGAATCTGGAATGTATTCTGTATATTTATATTCAATATCGTTTTCTGAAAAATCTTTCCTTTCTTCAGGCTTTCCGTAAGGTTCAGACGGGCACAGGGAAGACTGGCGGTTGTCAGGCCTATGAAAGGAAAATGACCCTCTATTTGAAGATTTACTCCTGTCGCAATTACAGTTTCTCACGCAGCTCAATTTCAGACATGGTCTTTTTGCTACAGGCTCTAACGAAATATCTTGATTTGTATTTGGAATGTACCTATCTGGCTTATGTTTGTGGACTAAGAGATCTTGCCTAATTTTCTCCAATCTTTCATCTCCATGAAGCCCTCTCGTATATTTCGATTTCGGCGGACGAAAAAATCTTATTGAACCAGATGTGTGTGGTTCTGTTGACCTTCTTCTTACAAATGATGGAGAATCAGAAATCTTGTTTACTCCCAAAAGGAGGACAGGTGTCTTCTTATCCTCTTCATCTGGTAAGTCACTGCAAATAAACAATGTTGGTCAAATTACGAATCCTTGGGGAACGCAAAGATGTGCTTATTTGAATCGTATCTAATTGGATGTATGTTAGTATAAAAACCTGGCGCTTAGAAATTTGTTAATTAGGTGTTTCAATGTTCAAATCGTTCCATGATTATTGAGAATCCTTTTAAAAAGCAAAAATAATATTCAACACATCTTTGTTTTCTAATTCATTTATTATTTGTTATTACTACAAAAGAAACATGCTTATATTCTTCAAATAAATGACTAAGAATAGCGGAAATAAAAACAATTAAAATCGTACTCACATAATGAAGTTAGTAACTAAACCAAGGACAAAATTTACTCACAAAAAAAAAAAGAACCAGACAGTGAATTTTCTTGTTATGACGGTTATTAGTATGACACCATGTGCAATTAATAAATTTCATTTTGATAACATGATTATATAACTAAAATATCACCTGTGTGTTAGAGAAAGGAGGGAAGTGCTTCCCCACGCATATTGTGCATAGAAAATAGGTATAGTATTAAAGCAGAATATTGCATTGGATATACAAAGTTATGTGAAACTAGTAGAAAATGCCAAATATATAAGCTGATCGTGAAAAGACATGTGCCTCATATCTTAACGAATTATGTAACATATAGAGACAGCACGTCTGCTGCTAACTCTCAACTAATAATTGAATTTGACTTATTAACGATATTGCCGATTACTAGATATACCATCAAACGATCTAAAAATACTTCAAATACTTTTCGGCGAACAAACTCATACAGTTAAATTAAGTGTAATACAAGGATATGGATCTAATATAACGAACTGTAATGAAGACGTCAACATCATTATCATTACAGTCTATTAAAGTCCACAGCTGAACATAGGCTTCCTAACCAACCAACGGTGTGGTGGCGGTGTACGAATATCCACTACCTTATATCGTCTCGTGGGTGTCGTAAGAGGCGGCAGAGTGAAACAAACCAAGAGATAAGCAGCAGCATCTTGTTATTATCAAAAACTAGAAAATAAATAAAAACTAGGTTCGCCAAACCGTCTGTCAAGATTTGCAACTTTGGGCAATCTAAAGCCGGCTATACATGTTGGCCATAGTTCGCCGAGTGAAGGCGTATACAGCCCATTTGTCTAGCCTCGCCATTGCTTGTCGTCGCTCGCCTAGCTGGACGCGTGCAGACGAGCGCTAATGTGTATACGGTTCGTTTGGCGTGCCTTGCCACCCCTCGGGATCGCCAGCCACGACCCGTTTCACTTCGGAGCAATATCGGTTTTTCTGCACAAATCAAAGGCGCTCGACCGCATTCAGCAAGCCACGACCACATGTTAGTTGGCCATGTGGCTATGTTCACTCTTTCAAACTTTACCAACATGTGAACTGTAGCACTCGCCTTGTATCAATTTGCTACGCTCCCGTTGGCTGGGTTGGCCAATATGTATTACCGGCTTACGAGGAGGCCTAACGAAGACTATATTATTATTAATTACGACTACAGCACTTTCAGTTAGTATATACAGCGTTAATAATATAATGTATAGGTACATTTGTGCTAGCAACTCGTAATTATGATCACTTCATTTATAATTAAAAAAAATCGTCACGAAATCGCATGTAACATGTAACATTCTTATTTGTTGAAAAATTGGAACATGCTGTACTGTACTATATTTAGTAACACCCTGGCTCTATAACTATAATTTCCTTAGGGGTACCAGTTGGTGCCAAGAACAAGGTTAAGAAGCCCTCTGTGACATAAAAATAATTTGAAAGTTTTCATTCTATTTGTGAGTTCGTTCAAAATATTATGCAACAGTTTTCACTTATAAATACAACTCTTATTCGAAAATAGCACTATTTTTAAGACAATTTGTTTGAGAAGAGAAAACATTAAACTTATGACACATAACTTTTACTAAGTGTAGAATATAACATTGAATAAAATGTATTATTACAAGATCTTATTTAAGTTTTATTTAACTAACAACCAAGGACATTTTTCAATCGTAAGATAAAAGTTATCCATCAAAACGAAATTATTATAATCTGATTGAATATCAAAGTAAAACAATGAACTATTTATTCACACAACTGTAATTTTTAATTTATATTGTATTAAATCCTATGAATAACTTAACCCTTAATCTAATAAAAGTGTGGTTATAATAGGTAGATCTACTTTAGCTGCTAATGGCTGACACGATACCGATGGGTTCATCTTATCACAAATCTTTCACTGTACCTATGCGATGGCTTGGATCTTTACATACATAATAGCAGTCAGACCGCGACGGTCAATGAGCATTTAGTGAATGGTGAACGCGAAACGCAGAACTCTGAACTCTATAGCGTTCGCTGTGGGACAGGCGTCTTATGGGCTATAATTTTTATGTCAGCATTGATGGCCATGATACAGTTGTTTCCACTGCGAGACAAAATAACGTTTTAAATTAGACTTGCTAATAACATTTATGTTATAATTTTAAAGTTAAAGCAAGTTTTTAAATAGACGTTTTAAATGCGACATAGTGAATCAGTTATAGACAAAATAGGTACTTAATATAAAAAGAAACCTTGGTATGTATAAAGGTATATGTGGTAGAGCCATGCTGCAGTTATATTAGTAGTATAGTTCTAGCACGAATGGGTCGGCTCGACCGGAGAAGGACCACGATCTCACAAAATACCAGCGTAAATTAGCAACTTAACACTGCTCTGTTTAGTATAGTAAGTGTAGAGAACCAGAGACCCTTTTTACTGGAAATGAGGCATTCCACCTTAATCCTTACGGGTGACAACGCATCTGCATTTTAATTCTTTATTGAGGATAGATGTAGATGTTTATGTGTCACAGCAAACACTTACCATGAGGTGGACTGTGTGCTCGTTTGTCACCCTATCCTATAAAAAAGGTATGTTCATTTTCTAACATAATGTCTATAAGTGCAGTGGCGGTGTAAGAATATCCAGTACCCCTTATCATCCCGTGGGTGTCGTAAGAGGCGAGGGAAACAAATCAGGAGATGGGCAGCACCGTCTTCCTAATAACGACTACAAATAAAAAATAAACTGCGGTTGCCAACGCGCTCGTCAAGTGTGGTAACTATGGCAAATAAAATCCCCCCCCCCCCGGACTTTAATAGGCTGTAACGGTAATATGTGCTGCATTATTAATGACTTGTGACATGTGTGATATAGCCGAGTATTGGCGGGCTAAGAGAATACATAGCCTAATTTCTCAAACCCACGGGACTGGGTTGTTGCATTTGACGACTATGAGCAATACCAGAAGATCTCACGTGTTCCGTGAATGATAGTATAACCATCTAGTTCACGTCAGATATAAAATACTCAGACCAGAGACGGGCGGCAGGATCAAAGTTGAGAAACGTTTTATACCAGGATGTGCCAATCCGATTGCAAAGCGTTATGATTATGAAAAATCCTACGGGAGAGACCTGCGGATGGATGAGAATATATAGGTAATATACGTAGCCTTCTCTTTTGAAGTTCTATGCGGGTTTTAAAGGGCTTCGGTAGTCAGGCAACCTCTTTACACTCTTATGTTAATTAATAGAATCAGGCGTTACTTTGCGGAAATCAATTATATTAAAGTTGGTAAAAAATACTTTGCCCATATCAGCTTAGTGAAATAAAATCATGTGTCTTACCTAGTTTGAATATACATATACATTTGATTACCTAAGGTCTGACCAATAGTTTTTGAGTTATTCTTAATTAGCTGTGCCCCGCGGTTTCACCCGCGTCATCATCAAGTCACGTGTCGGAGGTGCGCGACATGACCTAGTTCAAGCATTTATAATTGCAATTAAATATTTTATTTGATAGCAATGGATGGAAAAATTGGCATAATTAATGGAGTACTTTTATCTGTCGGCATATTATGTATGATGTAGAGCGAAGTTAAGTTTTATCCTTTCCCTCCCCCTCCCGATTGAGCATCCTCCCCCGCTCCCCACCCCACGTCCCAGAAAGTGTCCCGAAGCTCGGTTTTTTCCAGTTTTAAAGAAAACCGTACACGATACATGAAGTGTGTAGGCATGAAATGATTCTTGAGCTATCAAACTCGTATACTTATTAATCAATTATAATTAATAAATCTGGATGTCTTTTACTTATTTATTCAATTTTAACAGATCAGTCTTAGTCACTTAATAGCGTCTAATGCCCACAGAACGCTAATACCCTTAGGCGGGCTAATGCCGCCATCTTGACCGCTTCCTCCCTAGTTACCATAACATTTGAAATAAGTACTTTTTTTATAATGTGATTAATTATATGACTATAATTACTTTTAAAATGTTTTAATATTAAACATTTTAAAAGTAATAAATTTATCTTTATAATTCTTAACCGTTAGAAATTAAAACTGAGTCTCAACTAGTTTAATACAGGAAATAGCCATAATGTTGATGAGAAATGACATGACAAAAACAAACTATCGTTTAGAAACTTGATATAAAAAATGAATACATATTGATAATCTAACAATCGGCCATTCTGATTTTTTACTGCCTGTCCTCAGGCAGTTTGACATCATGTTATAAGAGTTTTTTTTTTACACATTTTTTTTAATCAATAAATTATATACGATATGAATTTACATTTAAGCTGTCAGAGAAAATCTGTTTAATACACTTTTCTTTTTAAATACAATTGGCAATTAATATGGATTTTCATTTAAGCTAAGAAAGAAAATATGTACTAATATACATGTTGTTACCAAAATAAAGTTTGTCAATTCGGCCATCCTTACTTATTAATTGAATGCCCTCATTCGATTCTACTTGTATTCTAAGATATAATTATAATCAGTAAACTTAACAGTAGTATCCATTGTAATTGTAACACATATTATTGACACACAGACATACAATTTACGAATTACGAATTATTTATAATTTGGCACTATCACAACACTTGGACGGAACATCCTTCACATAGTACTTATGTTATAATTTGTAACCACAGAATTTCCCAGCATTAGTTCACCAAATGAAGTATTACTACGGAGTTGCAGACTCATTTATTATTATGCTCTGATTTATGCTTAGCTTTGGAATCAGTTGTAGATGCTAACCGCGTGCACACACAGGATGCATCGGTCTCTGTTCACACATTTTGTTATTTGATGGGTTTACCGCGTGTACTCACAGGGTACATCGGTCTCTCCTTCTGAAATTAATGAAATACCGCGTACACACACAGGGTGTATCGGCCTCTGTCTATCTTCTTTAAATTGGTGGGCTACCGCGTACACACACAGGGTGTATCGGCCTCAACCCTGTTTTGAAGGGATACCGCGTGCACACACAGGGTGCATCGGTCTCTATCCAGTTGCCAACTTTATAATATTTTATAACTTTATAATTGTGTCTGTGTTGATCCTTCACAGCCTCGGAGTACGATACTAGATTCCGGCGGACTTAGTGTCGGTTTACTTACAAGTACAACATAAAAACAAAGTGTAGTACCATCTTTCAATGTGTAGTTATGCCTAATATCTTTAGCTTCAGTGCAATTCCTATCGAGTATTCCTTTTATAAGCTTTAGTTTAGGGTCACTTAACTGCGCTGCTAGTACGGAATGTTCGTCTTGTACAACATTAAGTACGTGTAAATCTAAGGAATCACTATCATCGGCGGGCAAGGGATTACGACTCAAAGAGTCCGCATGTTGCATTTGCGTACCAGGTCGATATTCGATCGAAAAATCGAAATCTTGAACAAGAAGCCACCACCTTGCAATCTCGGTACAAGATCCGTCTTGGTTAATGCTGTCCTTAAAGCGTTGCAGTCGGTAACTATCTTGAATTGAACTCCCAGCAAATAGACACGAAATCTATTTAAGGACATTACCACCGCAAGAGTTTCTAACTCGTATGAATGAAAATGTTGTTCTTCTACCGAAGTCTGCCGGCTGTAATATGCGACAGCCCGAAGAGGTGATTTCTCGTTCTCCTTTTGCAACAACATGCCGCCTATTCCGAGTTGACTTGCATCTGTATGCAGTTCGGTCAAGTAGGTTGGGTTATATATTGCTAACACAGGCCTGTTTGTAAGTATTTCTTTAATTTTAAGGAAAGATTTAATTTGATCTTCCCCCCAAGTCCATGGGGTATTCGCTTTAGTTAACGAAGTTAATGGTCGAGCAATAGTAGCAAAATTGCGGATGAACTTTCTGAAGAAACTGGCTAACCCGATAAACTGTCGAATTTCATGGGGGTTTCGAGGTGTTGGAAACGACAATACAGCTTCTGTTTTCCGTGTACCAGGGCGAATTCCATTTTCCGACACTTCAAATCCCAAATAGTCAATTGTGGTTTTGAAAAAATGGCATTTCTTTAAATTTAACGTTAAGTTCGCTTCACGCAAAATATTTAAAACTTGATGTAATTTTTCTATCCCTTCAGTAATGGTCTTTGCCCCGATAACAATATCATCCATGTATGCCATAACACCCGGGATTTTGTGTTTGTTTAGTAACTTATGGATCATCCTTTGAAATACTGCGAGTGCATTTGTTAGTCCAAATGGCATTCGATTGTATTCAAAGTGTCCATCTGGAGTAACAAATGCAGTAAGGTGTTTAGAATCTTCTGACATAGGGATCTGATGGTAACCCTGCGTCAGATCTAACGTAGTAAAATACCTTTGGCCTTGCAGGTTATCTATTTGGTCTTCAATCAATGGCATCGGATATTTATCTTTGATGGTTTTTCGATTTAATGCGCGGTAATCGACACAAAGTCGAAGGTCACCATTTTTTTTTGAAACAAGTATGATGGGACTTGCATATTCAGAATCAGATTCCCTTATAATTTCATTGGTCAAAAGTTCATTAATTATGCTGTTGACCTTTTCTCTTTCAGAAAGAGATAATCTGTAAGGACGATAGGTAACCGGTGCAGCATCATTTAATTTTATTCGCATTTCAACAATTGAAGTCTTTCCTAATTCACTGGTAGTAAAAGCGAAACAACCTCTGTACGAGTTTAATAGATCTAAAAGATTCGACTTAGCCATAGGTTCGAGATTTGGATCTGTATTTAAATCATCGATGGTAATTGAAGAAACATCATTGGCGTCAAGAGGCGTATAGCCTCACATTTACCACGTAACTGTTTTCCTCGTTGGTGGCGAATATTTGTTTTGGTATTCCTACGCCTCTTGCTACGATTTTGCCTTTCTTAAGGGAAAAGGGTTTATCACATAAACTTATAACAACTACACGGACGATACCATCATAAATAGCATAAACTCCGGGTAAGATTAAATATTGTGAATCATTGAATCGCTGTATCTCTGATGCTATGCTCACGAATCCTGTAAACTGGGAAACGCTAACAGCTTCTATTACTGTATCATTTTTAATCATGTAATCATCTACAGTCGTTAATACCAGCAAGTTTGATTTGTTAGCAGTAATTTGGTATAATGTCAATTCTTTATCCGTCTTAAATACTCTTACAGTAGGATGTTCAGAGAGAGATTGCCCTATGAGTACCTCAGCTGGCAACAAAGATGCAGGCACAACATATGCTATTAATCCTATATCCACAAAATCGACTCTTACTCTTACTTGTGCTTTACCAATTGGAGATATGGCACTATTACCAAATCCCCGTAAAATGGGCAACTCGTCTGAAGAAATTTTTAAATTCAAGTCTTTACATACTTTATCACTCAAGAGAGTACACTCGCTCCCAAAGTCAATATAACCTTTTATTATTATATCGTTAATTTTAACATCTTTAAAATATTTTTGATTACTTTCCATCACTGTTCCATCTATATTTAATACAGTCTTTGATATGTTATTAATCTCTTCGCGGTTTGTGTTGTTTGGTTTATGATAATTTTGTGAATTGCAATTGATATCTTTATGGCCATGGCGTTTGCATTTGTTGCACCTTAGTATTTCTTTAGTACACTTCAGAACTGTGTGACCTACTTCGCCACAATTGAAACACGTTATGTGGCTCATGGTCCTTTTGTTATTAAAATAGTCGTGATTATTTCTACTTTTTACCTCTTGCATGGATTGGTTTGGATATTTGTTTACGCTGTCATTTCTTTTGTCACGCATATCAGGGTTAAACCGTTTAGGAAACTGTGGTGGTTCAGTTTTATTACCGGTAATATAGCGAAAGTAATTTAAGACCTGTTCCGGGTTATCATAATGTGCACCTTGTACATTCATTCTCACGTTATAATCAAATATCCCGTGAGTTATACAGTCCACTGCCTGTCGCCCCACTAGGTGACACCTATTAATAAGCATAATCTTATCGTAGTAATACTCAACAAGAGTTTCGTTACGTCTACTTGTACGACTTAACATCTCGGACAATAAATCTCCGTAGTTCTGGTCGCAGGAAAACGTCTCCAATAACTTTCCCTGCCACTCTGCCCAACTAAATTTTACACTCGTAAGCCCATCATACCATTTCTTCGCTAATCCTTTTAACTTTGGTAAAGCATAGAACATGGTTTGTTGTTCCGACCAACCATACATTTCCGCCGATTCGTTTATCTTTATGAGCCAGTCTTTCATGGTTTGTGCTTTAGAACTAGGGTCGAATTCCGTGATAATACTTTGTGCACCTTGCACGTGCGTTGGTACATGTACTCGCGAATTACTACCTTGTAGTGCACTTACCAATTGTTTAAGTAGATTATTGTCAGAAGTTTGCCTAGAATCTGCACTTTCAATGGATGTATCACTAGATATGTTACGCCGTATATTTTTGTGTTTATCTGAGTGCTTTGATTTGCGCTGCGACCGTTCAAAATAAGTATGACATGGAGTGCTATCACGTTGAAGACGCCGGCGGCGCTGCCGTTTCGTTAGATTTTGAACAGGTGAAGCAGAATCAATACGAGGTTTACGAGAAGTCTGTCTGCCACGAGTGGGTGTTTGACGACATTGCCCACATCTACAACGGTGGCGATTTTGTTGCCTAGTAGGTGGTCGCGAGTATTCTCTATATGACGAATTTGAGTCTGAAGTAAAATGCCCTACGGACTCGCTACGATTTCGCTTACGGCTAGGACGGTACGACTTGGCACGATCCATATGACCATCTCCTATAGATGGTAAAGGGGGTGTTAAACCACGATCAGACATTTTATATATATAACTACTATTGTGTATAAAAGAGATAAACGTATAATAATGTCTTAATATTGTTAAATTGTTAATTGTTATTGTTAACTATATTGTTAATTTTACAATGATAACAAAGATAATATATAGTATAATCGTAAACCGAACACTTCTTCTTTGAGTTATTTACAGTATCTGTAACAATATTTTCCATGACTATTTTGCACACATAAAGAAAGTGAGAAACAAATTTGACACCTTTCATTATTATACAACTGATAAATTTTCAGTCCATATTCCCTCCAATATAGGTACATACACACATACATATTTATGTTTCATTAATGATTTCATATGGCAATGAAAATGTTATATTATATAGTTGTATTATAAAACTGAAATAAAATCCCGTTAAAATCTCAACGTTCATATTTACTAAAATCCTTCAACTCGTTACATATTGAGCATTAAATACTGACGAAAAAGATCTATTCATAAAACATACTCTGCTGTTTCTTACAGTGTCACCAGACTTATCTGTGAAGTATCAGTTTGCTAAACTACACTCATACAAGTCTGTGATTAGCCTTAAATTAGCGTGGTGTTTTAGAGATGGTTAATATACATTTTAACTGTTCAAATACAAAGTAAGAATAACCATATTAAACAAAATCATTCTATCTAACCCACTCATAATAATCAAAGATTCCATAGCTTTCCAATTAATATTAAAATATTTTTCATCTAGTGCCTATCTTGTGTACCACTTTGAGTGTTAATCAATTCTTGGTAGATAGTGACTTTACCTATAGAATTAAGAAATATTGTTAACATTTACCACACCAAAATTAAGTTCGAAAATAAGCACTGCATCATCCATTTGCTATAAAATGAAATTCCCATCCTATATTTTCTACCGCACTTGCGGTTAAAATGATCATACCAAATGAATCACGTGCCGTAAAATATTTTCTGCCGACTTCCAAAAAGGAGCCGGTACTCAATTCGACTGTATGTTTTTTTTTTTTTTCGTTTTTTTTTTTTTTTTTTATGTGTGTTACCTCAGAACTTTTTTCTGGGTGAACCGATTTCGATGATTCTTTTTTTATTTGAAAGCTGGTACTTCTCCTGTGGTCCCATATGAATTTGATCAAGGTCAGACCAATAGTTTTTAAGTTATTCTTAAATAACTTATATTGAAGTCGGCTGTACAAAATTTTTAATTTTAAATTATGTGTATTTCTACTCACTGTACACAAGGCTTTACTTAGTTATACAGTCTAGGAGTAACTGTAAAATCATAACAACCTGTTGATCCCAATCTGTCCAGCCTAAGATTTTGGTATTAGATTACTGAAAACATGTTATGAAGTATAATGTTACAGAAGACGCTGACTCCACTGTAGTCGTTATTGCTGATTCAGCCAAGGCGTCATACTTTCAGTCAACAGATTTGTTTTGACCATGCTATATAAGCCGTTGCATTTAGAATAAGATTGATCATAGAACTCACCATAGTCATGTAATCGCTTAGTTAAGGGAGTCAGTATTGAAATAAAATAGTTTTAATGCATTATTGTAATATAATAGTAAAAAATATCATCAAGACATATTTAGTTATTTTTTTTTTATAAAAACTTCAGCACCGCTCCCGAAACTTAACTACATTGATTGAGATTTGACAACTGCATAAAAATTTGTTGCGCCATGGCGCAATTTTAAGTGCAATGAGCCGGCGCAGTAAACTGCTTCCGATTATGAGTTAACGCGTGGAATTTTTTTTGTGTCTATTAACAATGTTTTTTTTTTAAATTAAAACAAAGAAAAGCAACTACAATATAGTCCATTGATTATAAAACTACGAGGAAAAAAAATAAACACCATGATTATAGTGTAAATAAATAACTATTTTGTCATTATTATACTAATTACACTTCTAACCGCTTCGTAAACATTTTTTTTTATAAATTCACACGACACAAGATTATCCATTACGTTACAACCAACAAGAAGATTATAACAATTGTACAGAATTGTATTTCTTTCACTTACCGAGTACTGGAGCTAATATTTTACCAACAACAAACCTTTATGAGCGATATATTTAGATATCCCACTTCTGAAATGTATAATTAATAAATCTGGATGTCTTTTACTTATTTATTCAATTTTAACAGATCAGTCTTAGTCACTTAATAGCGTCTAATGCCCACAGAACGCTAATACCCTTAGGCGGGCTAATGCCGCCATCTTGACCGCTTCCTCCCTAGTTACCATAACATTTGAAATAAGTACTTTTTTTATAATGTGATTAATTATATGACTATAATTACTTTTAAAATGTTTTAATATTAAACATTTTAAAAGTAATAAATTTATCTTTATAATTCTTAACCGTTAGAAATTAAAACTGAGTCTCAACTAGTTTAATACAGGAAATAGCCATAATGTTGATGAGAAATGACATGACAAAAACAAACTATCGTTTAGAAACTTGATATAAAAAATGAATACATATTGATAATCTAACACAATTAAATTTTCAAAATACCATAGCAACGTGAAATGAAAGAGTTCAGAAATAAAGATGTAACTAATCATTGTCATAAAAGTACTCAATTATTTTTAATTTATTTTAGCTATAATGATTGAACTAACTTCGCTTTTAGAAGCTTTCTATACTGGCTTCTCGCAGTTCTCACCGGGCGGCTAGGGTTTAAGCGTCGTTCGCACGCCCAGCCAAGTATTGAATTATTTTAATTTTACATTATCTCTTAAACTATGCGTCCAAATAACATGGTATAAAGAACAAAGTTTATCTTCATAAAATTGTCTTGATGATGAAGTAACTTTCGTTCGTAAGGTTAAACAGGCCATGCCTCATAATAACGCTCATAAATCACTTTTAAATTTTCAATATTTTTTTGTCACAAATTACCTAATTATGGCTTATGTATAAGAAATAGACATATGGTACCGCGGATTTTTTTTTAGACGGAGTAAAGATCTATATTTTTCTAGAACATTGTATTTACGTATCCCTAACGATAACACCAGCGTACTCGGATAAATAATTTCGGGAGTGCTTTTTCTTCTGACTTGCTTAACAAATATCCATATTTAAGGCTAGCTGAGTGATATAGCTTAATGCTAGATAGCCTATACTATTCCACATGAATCTGGCTATAATATACAAAAATATTTTTCAAATCAGACTGGTAGTTCTAGAGATTAGCGCGTTTAAACAAACAAAAAAACAAAAAACTCTTCCGCTTTATTATATTAATAATAGTATAGTATAGATAATTCATATTGAAGTCGGTTGTATAAAATTTTTAATTATAAATTATTAGATAATTAACTCTCTCAAAGGTTTATTCTTAAAACCGTTACCTAGTGAAATTACTTTGTATCTAAGTACCAAATACATTCAATCTACGAGCTCATAGCTTTGATACCGCAAATATGATTTCATTTTTTTAGCTGTATCGTAGAATGTTGATCAGTTTGTCAGTAATCTACTGCGTGAGCAATTTGCTCTTCATACCAATCAACGTAGTGCGGTTGAAAATAAAATTATCGATATCGACAATAACATTATTTAGAGTTGAATAAGATATCCATAAATAAGAAAGATGAAAAAGGATTAATCTTTCAATGAAATATTTAGTAATATTGTAAGTATTTTTTTTTCTCACTTTTGATATTATTTATTTTATTACTGTCTTATAGGTAACTTTATTACGCTCGCAGTCACTTCAGATGTCATGAAAAGATCATTGCGAATAATTCGTTAATTGAAACGTTTATTGGAATAATTTCGGAGGGCTGACCTCCCAACATGGAGCTCCCCTTTTCAGCCATGTCCAAATATTATTTTGTTTTTTTTATAGGTTTCGACTTTCTCGAGTTTCTTGTCATCACGGTTATCATGAGGCTCTCGTCGTATATGGAATGGTATCATAATGTTCTCATCGTATGAAATGGTATTTATTTCATATGTTTATACTTTAATAAATATTAGTATCGATAAATCGAAAACACTAACTTGCACATCTCTAAAACATCCACTTAACTGGACGAACGTAGTTTGC